AACGAGGTAGACCGGAATATCAATGCCGGTCCACACGTCCTTGCTAGGGACGCCGCCTTTGGCAACTCCGTTTTCATAGTTCGGAAGCGATCCCCAGGCCATTCTGCGCCAGACGGGCGTCCTGCTTTGGTTGTTGAAGCGATCCTGGAGCTTGCGAAGCTCGAGATCTGCACCAGGACCAACGAATCTACTGACGCTGGCACTTTGCGGGCCTCCCCACCGATCATAAGCCCTCCACAGGTCAAAGATCCAGCCGGGTACCCAAAGTAGCCTCCGAAACAGCGTCGTCTTGTCTTCTGTGGGCGGGCCGGCTACGGGACAGATGGCAACCAGTCCGACAACGTACTTGCGAAGGTCCGTCTTGTGCGGCGCATTGCGACTCGCCAGCTGTGCGCACATGGTAGTCCCCATGCTATGGCCGATGAGTACGACACTGCGGTCGGGCTCCTTCTGACGATACTCATCGATGATGACTTCCAGCAGCTCACACAGTGCTTCCGGAGTATAGGCGTCCCATGCCTGCTGGGTGAACTCTGAGCGGCCGCAGCCGGGCAAGTCGATGGCCAGGCATGATGATATGTGAACCAGACTTGTCAGCAACGGGTGAAACTGAGCTACTGACCCTCCCAGACCGTGAATACAGACAAGCAGGGGAAGTGGTGGGTTGGGAAGCTGGTCTGCTTGGAGGTGTCGTTTGTAGAAAGTCCTGATGCCAGAATAGGTATAGCGCCCCGTGGTGTATGAGCGACTCTCTGAGTTCTCCTTCAGCAAGGTCGGATCGGTAGCTCCAGGGTCATGAGGGTTGGCGAAGCTTAGCCAGCCGGCGCCCTGTTGTCGGTCCGACATATCGAACACGGAGGGGGGTTCTGATATGCCGGGATTCAGGCGCGTAACGGTAAGTGATACCGCGAGTAGGGTATAGTGAATATAATAATTTCAAGTTGAACAGCGTAATGTGCGGTGGATGATGTAGACCGGATAATGCGCGGGTATCTCTGAACGTAGTGCGCTACAATAAAATGCCGGGTCTTCTTTTTGCTGGTCGGGACGCGAGAGCGTTGATCTTGTGAATACGCCGTGTTCGGACGGAATAACAAGAAAGAAAGAAAAGGAGCGACGAGGTTAGCGGCGACGTGGTTGGTGACACTGGGCGGGAATGTGAGTCAACCAGATTGAGGCGGGAAAGCGGTCCCTCGTTGACTTCTGGTCTGTCGCACCTGGTGCTGCTGGGCGCGAGGCCCAGAAGCACTGCAGGAGAAACAAAAGCGGATGCTTCGTTTTTGTTTTTTCTCAAATTGCGAGAGACACACGCGCGGGGCAGGTGTCGTCGTAAGAGATCGACTGAACGACAGGCAGGTAAAAACGTGGTCGGAACAGGCCGTTCGTAAGGCAAGATCTGTCACTGGGGTTCGAGTCGGAGTGAGTGAGAGCGGAATGAGTGGAGGGGAGATAAGGTATGAGTGAGAGAGACGCGCGCTGGTGAGTAGCGTAAGTAGCGATGAGCCGCCTCGATAGACAGGTAAGGTGGGACAGGCCGCAGGTGCATTCGGCGGGCACGGCAAACCTTTGCCTTTTTGGCAATTTTATGTCACTGCTCATTTTCAGCCAACAGTTCGTCATCTCTCCTCCACCTGGGCCCGGGAAAACACTGTCATTGGTGTAGTGCATCTAGATTTTTCTGGCCAATTGTATTGACCTATTACACCTGGATTGTCCAGGGTCCACGGTGCTGCAAGGCTGATTACGTATCAGATGAGGTTGAAATCTGGGTATTGTACATTGCGTTTAGGTAACTAGTATTCTATGTATTACAAGTAGCTCTCTGGTGAGCAAAGTTCTCAATGTTGGGTCGCGGAGTGTTTCCGTATCTGCATTGAAGGGTTGTGATAGTACAGCTCTTGTAGTCAAAGCCAAGAAGTGGGACCTATAGCGGAGCCAAAAGAAAATACAGATGGTCTCCTAGTTCAATCAATCGGGAGTTTGCCATGGGCGGGAGACACTGGCATCTCTGTCATACCCCATGGCGTCCTATGATTTATCGTGAATCGCTGTAAGACTGCCATGTGAATGACTCCAGTCTAGGTGACGAATGGGTTTCTCCAAATCCAATTTGTCATGAATCGAGTTGAAGGTTTCCCCAGACACCGCCTGCACTTCATACAGCTCCCTTACCCTCTTTCCACCCGATAGGAATCATCGCGCCTGCAACGACATCCACGCCTCGCTCTGTAGCAAGAAGATTGAACTGAGAGGCGGCGTTTCTCGTATCCAACACCTCAACGCGGATGCCGAGCGAGCTGAGGTGCTTCCTCGTCGCTGGACTAAGGGGTACGATCTTGGGACCAACACCGATGATGAGAAGATCTGTAAAACAGCCACCATTAGTAAACCGGACTACCCTCATAATAGAAGAAGGGAAATAGAGCGTGGGAAAATGCGCACCGGGTCTCGGCCAGACCAGATCTAGGAGCCCAAATGCTTCCGCGGGCAGCTCGAACTGGCCTTTGGCATTGATCAGGTTCTTGGACCCCTTCGCCTCCCAAGGCCTCCACTCGAACGCCTCGCCGCCGATGAGCAGCGCTGCATCGCCGTCCATGATCTTGACACCGCTGTTCAGATGGAAGCCATCCCATACGCAGGCGTCGATCGAGGTCGAGGGGATGGGCGTGTTGGCCAGTACGTCCATCTCGCTGAAGTCGGTCGCTCCCTGGTAATCCTTGGGCTTCTCATTTTTTGATCTGAACGGAGTCGTGTGGAACTGACTACGCATGCATAATGGCTGGGCGGCAGCGGCAGAGGGTCGTATTGATATCGGCGAAGCTAGAGGGACGGATCGGGAGACGGTACGCTGGGTGCGCGCGAATGCGCGGAGACCGCGGGTTGTCATAGAGGTGTTCATCGGTTCGTTTGCGTGCCTCGTTTGAAAGTTGGACGTTATCAGCTAGGGTAGTTCGAGGGCTGGAATCAATCAAGATTCATGCAAGGTTGTTTAGTCTTGGTGTGGTTGTGTTTGGGAGAGTTGAGAAGCAGGAACATTTTTTTTTCCCGGGGTGTGATGCCTCAGTGTCTTGAACGTCATGATTACTGGGTTAGGTGGGATGCTGGACTACCTAAAGCACGAACGATATTGACACCGGAACTACTAGACAGGCGCCACCATGATGGGTAGCCAAAAATGACTGGCTGGGGTGGACACGAAAATGTATTTTGCGATTCAAACACAGCTGTCATTCGTAAAGGCGAGAAAAGTTCAATTTCGCTGTCATAATCCAGATCTCGGGAGTAAACCAATTTTTTTTGGGCGCCACGACCAGACACCGCGGGGTTGTCGTCCGTCACAGAAAAACGAACGGGAATCCCACATGACCACTAAGAATTGTGTTGTTGAAGGGCTCGATTTCCGTTTTCATTCAGGTATCGAGGCCTAACAGTGCCCTAACGACAGCGTCGGCAAGAAGAACCGTTTCAATCCGCCTCGTGGCCCGACGATCCTTTGTATCATGCTGTTTTTGCCCTAATGAACACCGAAGCAATGAACCAACCCCTTATTCCCATTCCTGCCAGTGTTGTGTTTGACGTGACCAAGAAGAGATGCGTCGGGTTTATTTCTTCTTCTCGCTCTGGCTCTGCTCCTTGAGAACCTTCTTGACGATCTTCTGCTCCTCAATGAGGAAGGCACGGACGATACGGTCACGGACGCAGTTACCGCATCTCGAGCCACCGTACGCGCGCTGGACGGTCTTCTTGGGCTTGGAGATCTGGGAGTACTCGCGGGGGCGGAGGGCGGGGACCTGTCGTGGTCATGTTAGCATGTCGTCCGCTTGGCTCTAGTACACACGAAGTTGAAGCCGAAAGTTCGTCGTTGCCATCTGTGAGCGCCGGTTTCTCCAAAGCCATGCGTCCTGATTCCCAACCAGCCTCAGCGTGACCTTCCGATACAGGAAGCGCTCCTCTGCAAGGACATTCATGGCCATGACCGAATAACATCCCATAGTTCCGTACTCTCTCAGATGGCTTCTCGGATCGTTCGTTTCGGCTTCGGTGTTGGGTTCGAACTTACGCCAGGGAGCTTGACACCGCAGTCACCGCACTTGGGGGCAGTACCGCGCTTCTTGATGTGAAGGATTCTCAGCTCACCACCCGGGGTCTTGACGATGCGGGTGAGGTTGGAGGAGGTGTTGTAGCTGTACACAGAAAATTTCCAGGTCAGCCTCTTTTTCCCAATCTATCCACCATGTAACATTTTTCGCGATCGCGGGGAAATAGTAACGTCGTTCGGTCGTTGAATTGATCGTATGCGATATCTCTAGGAAGAATCACTCACCCGTTACGGCGGCGGTACTGGACACGGTTTCCGGCCATTGTGACTGATTTGCTGCGGGCTGCGGGTTGGTTAGTTGAGAGTCGAGGATCGCGAGCGGATTTTCGTGCTTTCTCGAAATTTTGTGTGGGTGGAAAGATGAGATAGAGCCCGCTTAGGCGACCAATGAGGCGGGGGCAGTGGGCGACAAGCCACATGTGGCGGCTGACAGCTGGAAAGCCCCGGACTGAGCCCAGCTCACGTGCCAGCCACGCTAACAATTTTTGGATAAGAAATCAGTAACAGTCACTGTAGACGGCCAATTGGATGGGAGGGCGGAATGTGACCCGCAGCCTGCCAGCTTAAAGTGCCATACGGCTGTAGTGATTTCAGGAGCTTGATTCCAGTCCAGAATCCAGGCAAACCAGCCGCACCAGTGATTCTCTGCTCCAAAGGTAAGGTATCGGCTAGCCTCGTGTTAGTCGAATTTCAGTTCCAATCGGATTTTCGGGTTGCGTCCTCTCCATCATTTTCATGAATATACCCTTCGGCTTGTTCGCAACGGTCTTCAAAGATACTGTCTGCTCGTGTATACACCATCAAGCCATGATATACCCCAAAAAAACAATCCCCTTTCCGCGTACTAGTCGCCATAACACCATAACTACCGATATATCCACCCGAAAAACCCAAGACAGCGCTATGAGTCTGTAGTTGTCCAGTTAGGATGGTCTGTCGTACGCCATGCCTTGATGCCATTGGGCTCCTCTTTACGGCGTTGTGTAGCATGTTCCATAATGTTCGTTATTTTCTCGCTCTTCCTCATGTCCTGAAAGTCTTGCACTTCCTTCTTGGCCGCAGCCACCGACTCCATATACGCTTGGAATGTAATTTGGGCTGGACAGCATGAAGTCAGTGAAGGAAACATGTGATGACGGGATTCATACGTACGGCTTGGCTGTTTGACGGACAAAGGTTCCATCATTCGAGGTATCGTCGTTCGCAAGCCGCGAAGCTTTGCAAGAGGTCAGTGTTGTGATCTAAGGTACCAATCTGCGCTATGGGGCAACAAACCTTGACATGCAAGAGCTTGAGCTCGTCTAGAGCCTGTTCGAGACGTTCCTCATCCCACGCCTCGGAGCCTGGAGCACCAGGCTCACTCTTGATAGATGGGCCGTTGTTTGCCATGGTAGTGTAAATTGGTCGGAGAAGCGCAGGGGTCTATCAGACCATGGCGCAGGAGAACGAAAGGAACTGTCGAGCCGGCCGGTAGACCAGCGAGTAGGCGGTGTGATATGTTTGGGTCGGAAGTCGAAAATGGAAAGTCGAGTTAACGGACCGAGGCGTTTCAACCACCAGACCGGCGAGGTTGGATGGATGGGTGCCGAGCGAGGGCTCGAGGCGCAACACGCAATCACGGCCGAAAGATGGTCCAAGAAAGGTAAATGCTGGATCCGTGTTTGCGAACACTTCAAACGACACAGTCCGTAAGGCAAACTTCCATTCACACTGTCGTATGCGGTGCTGGTCGGGGTCCAAAAGGAGTACGGGAAGCAAGCCGGAAATACTGTGTTTATTTGATTGGGGTGATGTCTTCAACGTCTGGTACGCGGCGCAGGTGCAGCGCATCCATGGAACCTGGAAGCATGGGCCAGGGCCAGAATCGGGTCCCAGCAGGCTTTCCCAGCAGCGCGTCAAGGTGGTTGGTGCGTTATTCTCTGGAGTACCTTTCCCCATTATTTCCACAGGGCCAGTACATCTCGCCTACCTGTCGCGGTACAAGGCACTCACGACACCTTGCCAGGCGAGCCAGGTTCCTCACCACTCCCGGACGTTCACTCTACCTGGCCGTTGATTGGTCACGTGAACCTGTATGTCGAGTCTGAGGCGGAAGGTGCAGCTTGCTTTCCAGCCAGGCAATCAATCTCTGGAAGAAAAGAGAAAAGAAGCGGAATACGTACATAAAAGCGCATGTCCTTTACCTCCAGCCATTCTCACTCCCCCACATGATCCATCGCCGAAAAGATTGCGTGCATTTCCAGCAGCATCCCTCTTACTCTCTCTCTCTCGGATACTCAATACAAACGCTGGATACCTTACCTTAGGTACGTGCAACGTGAACGCCAAGCCCTGGACGCTAGGGCGGCTTGCAGCTGGATCCTGGATGCTGACCCCCGCTAAAAAGGTTAGCCGGAGAGCGGATTAACTGCCAACCTAGTTCAGACCGTGCGGATTGGAATTCTCTGACTCCAACCTCTCCGTGTTTCCTGCTGTTCCGTCACCAGATAACTTAGCTGCAGCCCTTCTGAGGAGAGCCATTCACCCAAAGAAGTACGGATATTATCGCCAACAAAAAGCTGTCGCATCATCCTCATCTTCATCTTCATTTCTCCGCCCCTCTATTTTCTACTTTCTGACGCGTCCGCCGCTCCCTCGGATCCGTCAACCACCGATTTCATTCCCCCACTTACCCTTCACAACCGCCAAGCTGGACTCCTCCGTCGTCATGTCGAATGCGCCTCCGCCGGCGCTCTTACCACCGCCCGAGGGCATCTTCCGGACCTTCGAAGACCTTCTGACATCGGTTCAGCGCGTCGCAAAAGACCAAGGGTATGGAGTTGTCAAGCTGCGCGCCTCGAATTATCGCGATGGCAAGCCTACCCGTTACGACTTGGTTTGCGACCGCGGCGGCGTCAAGTACAGCAGCACCGCCAAGAAGCGTAACCCATCGACGCGCAAGGTCGACTGCCCATGGCGCGCAAAGGCTGTCTGCGAAGTCCAACTCGGAAACCAGTGGCGTTTTGCTGTTCAGGAAGGCAGTCACAACCACGAGCCTCGCATCGCGACCGCCCCTCCCGGGCAGGAGAACACCCCCCTCGCCCAATCGATCCGTTCCTTCACCAATAAGATTGATCGCCTCAATCATGACATGAATCAAGGTTTCGGTCGTATCGAACAAGCTCTTGACACGATGAACAAGCGCCTAGAGAATCTCGAGAATCGTGCGGGTGGTTACGAGCCTCGTTTCCAGAATATGGAGTCGCGGTTGCAAGGCATGGAGGCGCGTGGAAGCATGGAGCTGCCCATGGACGATGTCGATGCTCGACTCCTGTCATCTTCGGTTATGTAGGAGAGTGACCCGGTTGACGAGTCGGGCTTCAAGGCTTCGGAGTTATCCGAGGACTTTGTGTGGACGTCTAATGCCTGACCACGCCCCGGCATCACGTACAACCCCGGTCACTAGCGTTCGCTCTCAACATGCGATAGATCGGGAGGAGGGTCACAAGTCGACAATTGTGAGAGACTTGTTTCTCGCAGGAAGCGGTTATGGATAAGAAGAGGAGCCAAAGCAGGATTGGCGGGAGAAATCATGTTATTAGGGCGTTGGACGGCGGCCAGGGCGTTTTCGGACACAATGATCTTCATTTTTCCATGCTTCTAGTGCGAAGGAGCGGCATTGGTCGCAGGTTCGGGAGTAGGGCCCTAGGAGAGGGTTCTTTTCTCCATGAAAACTGTGCGATATTACGGGAGGGCGGCTTTTTTGTTCAGGCACGTTTGGCGGACAATGGGGTCCAAAACCTATAGTGAGCATTGCCCTTTTGGGTGTTTCATAGGATCATCGCATTTCAGCGTTATCTTGCACACACGACTCCAGGTGGAGTGTTATTCGGGATGGTGAAGTTCCAGTTCGTGATCATTGCACTTTCCTCAATGTATTTGGGACCACCTTCCTCGTAGCAGAAACGAAATGCCGAAGGATGACGTAACATGAGCACCTTGTCGGACGCTGCCCTTTAGTCAATGCCTCGCGAGACCGACTTCATTTACATTTTTTTCCCTCGGCAAACATGTGTACGCTGTTCAGTCTTCCGCCAAATTTCCTCCCAGAATCTTGAATCTGCATCTCGACGACTTACACGAGCTGCCTCGCCCTGGAATGGAGTCCAGTCCGCGGACACAGTATCAACTCCCACATCGGAGTCCAACTTCGCACGTCCGCAATGCACACACTGTGAGGCCAGATCCCACACACACCCATGACAAGCTCCGGTTGGTTTCCTTTCTTGGTGCAAGCAAACAATGTTCCTAATCAAGACATGCGCGCCGGCCGGCAGAAAACGCCACCGGATGCGTTTTACAACCCTCGGCCCTCGAGGCAGCATTACGAAGTGACGGACCGCGGATCGCTCTCTGCCCACTATCAATCTCCGCTCCCCGCGCTCTTCGGCTTGCTCCCAGATCCTGATGATTCCTAACGAGAAGACCCCATGTCGATGCTCGGGCCAAACTGCTCTGGCTGGTCCAATAATACATATTACGAGTCTCCGACGGTGAGATATGCTTCTTCTGGACGCAAAATGCTTCGACGCATAACGTTAACAAGCCAGGGATCGACATGCCTGTTGGCTACCTTAGCTAACGTTCATCCGAAAATGCTGCATGCAGATTTGTTCAGTACAGCACCACCACCACCCAACTTTCTTTCATTGAATCGATCGGGGCGCTTACTGGCACATGCACCTTACATGCTACACAACCTGACAACTTTGGCGATACCGCCTTACCCGCCATCAGATTGCATCCTGTCGCCTAGGCTCATGATCATTTCCTCCCAGACGTCAGCTCAACTGGTCAAGACGCACAGTCCATCTACAGGATTTCACAACGATAGGATTTCCGCTCCGGGGAACGGCCGCCAACGGCTTTGTTTGTCGTCTAATGATACCTGCTAATACGGATACACATGGGTTCCTACCCAACCCTTCCATGCCTGCTCTCTGGGCATAGTGCGTCCATAGCCTCGGGACGAGGGAGGAACGAGGTTGGGTCACACAAGGGCAGCCACTGAGCTCTAATTACCTATTCGTAACGCTTTCGACTGCAGCAGCTATCAGCACCGCGGTCTAGGCACATGCCGCATTCCCTTCTCGTCGACAGGGGTTATATCGGACTCTGCAAGCTTGTTCAAACAACTGACAGGGCTGCAAATAAGAGGTTTTACGGCGGGCAGGGTCTTGTTGATGAAAGGGTGTTCTTGTTCCATTTTGACAACGGGTTTGCAAGCCACTCGCCATTGTCCTCAAAGGCTAGCTGGGTTGGCTGAACCACAGACAGGCATAGGCAGGCCGCCAGTGGGCAGCACGTCGGTTGGCTGCGAATGATAGGATTCGATAACACGTCGATCCCCGCCCATTGTCGATAACAACGGCCGTAAGGCCAGCCAAAGAACGCGGAGCTGCTGACATCGCCAACCACCGACTGAGTCAAATTGCATGGCGAGGCGATGTTCAATGCATTACTCCGTCTGCAACAGAGGGAGGAAACTCCGGAATCTTTTGGAATCGAGACTCGATGTAGGATGCCACCTTCCGAAGCTTGAGAGTTTCTTGCTCCACTGCTTACCTGCAGTGCACTTCATCACATCATCACGCGCACAGGCAGACATTTGCCTACCTAGCATACGGCCGAAGAAAAGAGGCTCTGCATCAAGGCTATATCAGTCAATTCTGGCCCTTGCTTTGCCAATGCAGCGAAGATCCGGAAACAATGGTAACCATGGATCGTGTACCCAGGGTGCTAGGGAACCCACAACAACTAACGGTCTTCTCTCTTCTCTCCCTCACCCACCTCTTCACCAACAGCAGTCAGCGGCGTGGCGGTCGTGGCCCTACCCACCTTCGCATCTCGCATTCGGCTAGTACGATTGACAAACAAACATACACAAAGCCCCTCCCAGGTTAATGGCAGGGGTAAAGTCAAATGGACAAGAGCGGCTGGTCCAGGCTGATGAGATCGGGCTACCGAGGGCCAAGCATGGTTCATCACATTTGCTGCGCCTGCAACAAATTACACCACATATACAGACCTTCATAATTAGGCGAATACGGCCGCCTCCGCGCAGTTCCTATTTCTCTACGGGGTTTTGCGGCTAGCTGCAAAGTTGTCAGAGTCTCTCTGATGTCCGAGAACGAGCGGGCCAACCGCCGAAAAGTCGGCCCCTCCAATCATACTCTGGTGGCTGGATGCACACGACTCAGGTGAGAGGGGGATATCAAGAGATTCGAGACAACGTCACTCATGCAATCTACCTGCCGCAAAAGATCGGGGAGCGGCGGTAGGAGTCAGGCCATCTGTCTTTGTTCACTCGTCCTCACAGGGCTGAACTTGACCCCGGGTCATGCGCCCGAAGAGTCTGATGCAGGGTAGTAGTTGCTTTTGGAGTGAGTCAACAAGTCTTGCACGGAACGTGATCGTACCCTCATGCATTCGCCGTTGAGTTTGAGCCATGTCGTGGTCATGGCTCACGGCGTGTATGGATGTTCCCGTGCTTGCGGGTTGCGGTGAGGACCCCCCCCCCCCTACTAACACACATTGCCCCGAGCAAACAATTGACTTGAATGTCTTGGTTGATGTGATATGTATACATTGCTCTATAGCTGCGCGTTTGTTGCTATGATTAGGTCATGTTCCAGCGAATGGGGATAGCAGCCCCTATGCTCCAAAAACAAAATAAAAAATCTGTCCGTTAACTCCAGTAATGCCACATGCCCCCTTTCCGAGTCATCCACTTCATGACCCTGGCCTGTCTCCTCCCGATGCTAAGGAATCTCAACTTATGCAGCTCCTGCCTTTACCAGGTGGGCGTACTCCAAGCTCTGGCTTTGGCTCCAGGTGCTAGGGTCGTCGGCCAAGGCCGCCATCTGCTGCTGCTGGAGGTTCATGACGCCGAGCTGCTTCTTGTTCATCTTCTCCTTCAACTCCTCGGTGATGGCGTCGACGTCGACGTTGAGGTACCCACGAAGGAACTTGCCAACGTCCGTGTTCTCAATGTTGCCGCGGATCTTCTGGGCCTCGTCACCGCCGGTGCTGTAGACGTTGACGTCGAGCGCCGTGTGGCCGTGGGTGCTCCAGCCGACGTGGGCGCGGAGGCTAATCATGGCGGCGAAGGTCTGGACCGAGACCTCCGGGTGGTCGACGAGAGCCTGGAGCTCCTCCGGGTGGGCATTGTCGATGCCGAGGCCGGGGACGACGAGCTCCTTGTTGACCCATTGCTTGAGCTCCTCCTTGTTAAGGGTCTTGCCGCTGGTGGAGGCGATCTTTTGCAGGAACTTTTTGGAGAGCAGCTCGGCGGAGGCGGAGGCCTTTGCGAGGGCCTTGGGGTACCAGTTGTAGACGGGGAGGTGTCCGGGCTCCTCTGTTAGTCACGTAGTTAGCTGGCTGCAGACATACACTTTTTGATGAGGGCTGGGACAAGAAATGAGAACTTACGCAGAGCAGTAGCGAGGCCACCAGTCTCGTGATCGCTGGTGGCCACCAAGAGGGACTCTGTCTTGCTGTCCTTGACAAAGTCGGAGACGAGCTTGAAAGCCTTGTCGTACTCGAGGACTTCCCGAACCTGTGCGGCGGGGTCGTTGATGTGGCCGGCGTGGTCGATCCTGCTGCCCTCGATCATGAGGAAGAAGCCCTTGTCGCTGTTCTCCGTGGCCTTTTCGAGGGCGCGCAGGGCCGTGGCGGCCATCTCGCTCAGGCTGGGGTAGACGTCGCTCATGTTGCGGCGGTCAATCTCAAAGGGGATATCGTAGTGGGCAAAGAGGCCGAGCTGGGGGAACGAGACCTTTTCGCCGCCCTCGAGGGCGTCAAAGCCCGCGCGGTCGCCGGCGTAGGTCCAGCCAAACTCGTCCTGGGCCTTCTTGACGACGTCCGTGTTGTCGAGTCTGCAGCTGCCGTCGGTGCCGTTGGGGAGGAAGTGGCAGCGGCCACCGCCGAGCATGATGTCGACGACGCGGCCGAGGGGACCGTCGCCGACCTCCTGAAGGGCAATGTCGTCGTTCATGGCGCGGGTGAGGACGTGGCTGGCGAAGCAGGCGGGTGTGGCGTCCGTGATGTCGGTGGTGACGACGAGGCCGGTCATGAAGCCCGCACGCTTGGCGGCCTCGAGGACGGTGCCGCAGGGTTCGTAGTCGGGGAGGACGGAGATTGCGCCGTTGTAGCTCTTTTTCCCGCAGGAGAAGGCGGTGGCGCCGGCGGCGCTGTCGGTGACGAGGGAGTTTGAGGAGCGGGTGCGGGAGGAGCCCCAGAAGTGCCTGTCGAGAGTGAGGACGTCGTCTTCGGGGAGGCCCTCGACGTGCTGGCGGAAGCTGCGCGTCAGGGAGAGCGAGGCCGGGCCCATGCCGTCTGAGACCATGAAAATGAGGTTGCGCTTGCCCTCAGCGGGCCTCGGGAACTTTGTCGAGCTCCTGTGCTGGGTCCATACCGCGAGGACGATGAGAGCTGCTGTGGCGAGGAGGGCCCAGACGAAAAGGACGATTTCGCGGAGGCGCGAAGGACCCGGGGGCGTCCGGGAGGAGTCGTCGCTGTCGTCGCCTTCGCGGCGGTCGTTGATGAGGGGCGTCCGTTCGGAAGACTGCGCGTTTGTGGTGTTAGCCATGATGTTTAAACACCCCCTTCGTAGTTTGCGATTTAAGCTCCAAGGTTTTTTGCGACCGCGGTTTGTCTTTCGTTTGATGATGGAAGTGAGTTTGGGGGAAAGTTTTGTTGTGTGCTTACCATCTTGGAAACGTTGTCTAGGTCCTCTATTGCGTGGCAAACGCAAGCAGGGAAGGGATTTCGCGTCGCTTCAGTTCCTGTCGCAGGTGAAGCTGGGATGGTTGGGAAGCTGACTCTTGTCCAGGTTGATAATATCAGGTAATACCTGAGGTAAGTGACGGGGGGCTGGGATCCTTTTTCAGATGACGGAACCGAGCCAGGCAGCCCCTCCACTGTCTAATCGCTTCCAAGTTCCGTGCCCTGCAGCACGATAACACCCGTTGATAACCTTGACGACCTTGATGACCTTGGGAAATAGCTCCAACAGTGTCTGACAGTCTGACTCTCGTCCAATTCGGGAAACTGGTCACGGTCTCTTTCTTCGTTGCAGGGCTTCACCGTCTCCTACCAATCCTACCAATCCCGACGCGTTCATTTGGAGCTTTGCAGGACCATTTGGAGTAACTTGAAGAGATGTGAGTGGTTGGGTGGCTCCTCCCCCAGGAGACCCCACCATTCCGGCCATGTACTGTGACATCATGCCCGCCTTGTCATCCCGTGGTCACAGGTGCCATCTCACCCACTGAACCTTAGACCTTCCTTGCCTAAAGTCGGACAGACACATTGGATAACTTTTGGCGAGCAAAGGGATTGGTCCCGCGGTGCGGTCTGGGCTGAGCCTCACACTAACCTCCTCTCCAAGGGTCTCGCCCACGCTGTCAGCTGGACTTCTTGTCGTTGGCTTAGACGCGATCAGGTGGGCGAGCATCTGCGGGGAAAGGTTGGGGGGACACACACTTAATCAATTATATCCCCCCCTCCTCATGCTCGGGATCCCGGAGGTGGTAAGGATCAACTAGCTGCCGTTGGTCATGGTTCGATATCTCATTGGATCGTAACACTTGAGGGACGAGCAAAGGGGCTTTTGTTTGATTCACATGGCATTTTCGTGGTTTGAACTTTGGGGCCGATGAAACCTTGTTGCGGGTGTTTCCGATCATCTCTCTCACCATGTCTCGAGGGCGGTGAGTACTAGTTTAGATTCATGGACGCTGGCTGCTATTCTGTGTTGTATGCTTTTTCCCCAAACTCACTGAGCTCGTTTCTGTTTTCCCTTGGGAGGGCTCGGTATTATATACTTAGTAGATGAAGCCGCAGGCCCGTTCTTCTAACCCATACGACTCTCCTCGCTAGGAATGAGAAGTACCTGCCTGGCAGCTTTCTGTTTGCGACATTTCATTTGTTGTGTGTCACAAACCTTTTATGAAGAATACGAAAAGATTGGTAAATCTGGACTGTGTTGGAGTAAACCTGTTGAAGAGCCTCTGAGCTCGGTAATTCCATTAGACCTTGATTTCTCAATTTTCTTCCGAGCTTACTTACATTCTTGTCCCTCAAAAAGTCAATGTCTTCATTACCGTTCTACTCACATCTTATGAACTGCTAGACAGCGTCAATATAAATATACACGTAATTTTGTAAGGGGTCCTGACATCTAGGTTCGGTTGTCCATCGTCGTGTTTGTTTTGATTTGTATATAAAGTCATAGAACTCTTGGCCCTCATCTGGGATCAGTAGTATGTTCTTCTCTCCCTTTCCATCAATGGCACAGCGTCATCGATAACAGGCTTATATTCATTCGACCCTATTTTCCTTACAGTCGCCTCCGAATAATTCCGAAATAGAGCGGGAACGAGAGACAGACTGTAGACTGACTTACTGAAGATAGACGTACTGACGCCTTCTAGCAGTTGACAGGATACTAGGCTCATGGTCAATATCGCATCGGTTACCGTCACCGTGTGTAGTTACGTTCTCCTCGTTCCCACGTGTCAGCACAATCCTATTGTTCTCTTTGATACCTCTCGCCGTCTAATACTCAAAGAGCTGCAACGTATAAAGAAGCCTGCTGTTTCGCAGGGAAGTGCGCTCTTTGAGATTTCTTTCAGAGTGCCCGAACCATGCTACCCCCGGAAACCTTTACAATACTCGCTATTTTTCCACTGCATAGTTCCAGTCCAGATAGCCTTGACCAGACTGCTGGCTGTAGAGTGGGTCGACCAGCAGAGACCTAGAGGCATGAAGTAAACGACCACGGAGTCTTCTCGTCAAGTGATTGAAGCAGACAGATGAGTTGAAGCCGAGGAACAGATCAGACGGTTCTTTGTTAAGCTCCTACGTGTATCGTGTACCTTATCGATTTCATCTTTTTCTCCCTTTGGCTCAGTCTTGCAACTTCTTACTATCCTACAATATAGCGGGTTGCCAGGCTGGCCTCTAGTTGTACCATTACTACATAAAACTTGACCTAGTAATTGAGGAGCAGGCCATTCCTGATCAATTCACTGCAATTGAGTACTCCTATCAGGACTGACAAAGGAGATCTCATCATTCACTTCTCTGTGTTGAGATATACTTTCACATACCTACCGTCACCGATTCACTTCACACGAGGTTCTAAGAGGCTAGAATTATAAAAGGACGTTTAGCCCGACCACGCAGAAGAAAGAACTTTGAGCACATTGCACAGAGAATTTCATCAGCACTCTAAGATGCTACCTTCCCCCTTCACGCTACCATGAACGCAAGTTCCAACACTCCGGCGATGACAACGACGACAACGACGACTGCCCAGCCAGTCCTCCACATTGGCATTTGGGACATCATCCTCGAGCAGCTTGCTGTGAGAGGTGACCATGGTACTCTAGCAAATTGCGCTCGTCTCAACAAGGAACTATCTGATCTAGCTTCTCGACACCTCTACAGGTAGGCAAAGGCCCCTAGATTGAATGATGTCCATCCTCCCCATTGAAGACTTGTATATTAATCAGACAGCAGTGCACAGTTTTGCCCTCCTAGATATTGGGGTGGAGAGGCTACGGAAAGCCTTTGGGCGAATCTGTCTGCTGACATGTTGGTGTGCGAGGAGCATCCTGACGCAAATCCAGCCTTTCCTGCTACATACCACCCGTACCTACCCTATATACGCCATCTGAATCTTATCAACTTTCTCTCGGTTCACGGTTGCCGACCATTCCCCGACCAGAGATTTATTGCTTTGAACCGTGAGGCTGCCCACCAGAACCCTGGTTCCACGACTGATCGAAGCATTGTTGCGGCGAACCACATCAATGCCGAAACTCCGAGCATCGGATGCTTTGGCAGTCGCCTCCTCCGCAAGCTGGCCCACATGTCTACGGAAAAGGGCTTCCAGGTCATGCTCAAGAGCTTGACGGCAGACTGGTGGATGAACGTCCAGCCAGTCATTCATACCTTTAGAAAGCTGGAAAGTCTCTCCCTCGTCTTTCTCGATGACTTGGACAAGTCCGCAGCCGCATTGATCACGAGCCATCTGCCATTGTTGACAAAGATATCAGTCGTACAGGCCGATGACTCTTACATTGCTTCCTTTGCAGACTTCGTCTCGGGGCTACAGCCGACTCAGTTGCGTTCGTTCGACTGCTCGCTCAATCAGACGCAGGTGCCACTTTTGAGGGCAATTGTCTGGCAGACTTGTCTCCAGGAACTGACCATGAACTTCATAGTTCGCCCTCCTTTTGAGCTGCATCGACTCTTTGAGCTGACAGACTTGAAATCGTTGACCCTTAGCTTCAACTACCAGCCATCGCCTCAAAATCGATTGAGGTTCAAAAGATGGGCCGAAGAGAACCGCAGCAAGTTTGCAGACTGGCTAAAGTCGTGCAAGGCTCTTCGAAGTCTCCATCTCTTCCGCTTTCCGGACCTCGTTCCCGCGGTTGCTGATGCTCTTCCTCACTTACATCTACGCAGGTTGCACATTTTCTCCACGGGATGCTACGAAAACTTCTATGAAGCACTTGAGACGCAGCAGCTCGAGTATCTCTTCCTAGCTGAGTGCTCTGAAGAAGGCCTCAGCAACCCTACTTCGAGGTTGAAAGAACGAGGCGAGCTCGTCATGAAAGCAGCGACAGCCATGCCGTGTCTTCGGGATCTGCGACTGCACACTTACTCCACCCTTGACTGTAGTGTGCTCGATAGCATTGCCAGATACGCACCGAGGCTCCAAACTCTGTCCTTTGTCTGCCGAAAAGGTGAGAACTCGACCTGGACGCTCCGTGCTCTCGAGGGCTTCAAACACCTCACCAGCCTGACAGTACTGGGCCACACCAAGTTCTCGTCGCGCGAGATACTCTACTGAGTCAGCTACATGCATTGCCACCAGCGCCCTGGCGGCTTCAAGCTGAGTCTCCCTGCACAAGATCCGCGGTCTTGGTACCGAGGGATGAGAGCCCCGGCCCAGATAGTGCCTTCCACTAACGACCCGGCGACGGCCACTCTGAAGCAGGTGTTGAAGTGGCTGGCTGTATTCGGAAGGGAACGCCACTGGCGAGGCAATGACTACGAGGCTGAAGAGGAGCGCATGTTTGTACAACTTTGGGGCGATGCCAGGGGCCCGGCTGAGGGACTGCAGCTTCTGAGAGGCTCGGGACCGTATGCGCCGTGGTCAGGCTTGATGCATAGTACGGGTCTGCCCATTGCTTGGAGGAGCTTTCTCTAACTCATAGCCAGAGAAGTTGTTTTGATAGATGAGGCAAGTTGGTAGTTCAATAAATCACGAGTTCACAGGAAATTCCGAGATGAAGTATGAGGTGAGGTTGAGTCAAGGCGCAGGAACTGCTATGGGACTGTACTTGCTTCGTCCGAAGTTCTGGGGGAAGTTACCTACGTTCTTGGAGCCGCCCCGCAGTACCTAGGTACCCCCACGACCACTTTACGCGCCCCGACGCGCTTTGCCTATGACGACCGCCCCTCTCACATCGAAGCAAACCTAACGCAGTGAATTAACATCGAACTTGACATCCATGACTCAAGCTTCAATGATATCATAACCTCAATCTAGGACTTTGCGGTGCCACGATGGCTGTACTCAACTTCACGCTCAGCGAGGACGCTGTTGCAGCCTTCCGCGACGTCCTCGCCTGCTTGAACAAGTTCAGCGATGAGGTCTCCCTAGAAGCCAAGAAGGACAAGGTCAGTCATCTACCGTTCAAGCACCGCAAATGACAGACCCGGATATTGACTGAGTTGTATGCAGTTGGTACTTACTGCACTCAATGCATCCAAGTCGGCATACTCCTGCTTCACATTCACCACCAATCGCTTCTGCTCTCGCTACCAGTTCGAGGGAAGTGCGCAGTACCGGGACAAGTTCTACTGCACGCTGTATATCAGGGTATGATTCTCACGGAAATTTTTACATACACATTGCCAGAGCCCTCATTGTTCTACAGTCGCTCGCCTCTATCTTCAGAAGCCGCGCAGGTGGCGATCCGCAGCGTGACCGCGAGAAGGAGAGCACGATCGATCGCTGTGACGTCGCTATTGAAGACGGCCCGGGTGTAAAGAGTCGCTTCATAGTGAAGCTGGTATTCCGGAATGGTACGCTCCCTAATCTTGGATCAGCACCACTCAGTAGTAACCGATCAGTGATGCAGGTGTCACATCTACTCATCGACTGCCATTCGAGGTTGCAGTGCCAGTGCACGCCAAATTCGACCGAGATGAAGCGATCCACCATTGGACCATCCCGTCGCGGACTTTGAGGCAATTGATGGAGCATTTTGGTCCCGGAGTCGAGCTTCTGGACATTAACTCAGACGGCGAACATGTCAACTTCACATGCTACACAGAGAAGACGACAAATGGAGACGGTTGGCTTCTAACCTCCTTGGTTGTGTCTATTGATGCTAACATCGGATATAGAGGTCCTCAAGAAGCCACTACACACATCAATCGCCATCGAAGTTGACGAATTCGAAGATATAGAAGTCGAAGATAAACTCCGAATCGTTATCAGCGTCAAGGACTTCCGGGCCATCATCCAACATGCCGGCATCACCGGCAACCACATCTCCGCTCGGTACTCTAATCCGGCGCGCCCGATACTGTTTACCTATCCCGGCGACGGCATAAGCTGCGAGTTCCTGCTTATGACAGTCGGCGAGAAAGGCAACCCGGCCCAGAAGACGAAGAAGGGCAAGGCAAAGGGCGCCCAGCCGGCTCCGCAGCAGCAGCTCGAGGCCGCGTCTAGAAGACAAAGTGCCGCGCCGTCTGAGACCCCGCAGCCCCAGGAGCAGCCACCCGCGCAGAGCATGCCGCCTCCAGCACTGTCGGCGTCTGCATCACGGAGTGGAATCGCCGCGCGCACTTCACTGTTCGATTTGAGGCCATCACAGCGACCGCCTCCCGCAACTATGGCTTCTCAAAGCCTCTTTGTGGATGACCAAGACGAACAAGCGTGGGAGCCCGTCAGGTATGAAGAGGACGATGATCCAGACTTGGATGCAAGACTTGGGTGGGATCATAGTAATCAGCCCGTAAGTCTCCCTGGCCCGATCCATCTACCTAGGACCATGATCTTAACGCACATGTCTCTCTAGACCGCTTCTTCCATGCACCTTGACCGCAAAGTCGCTGAAGAGAATGCCGAATTCGACCCGACTCCAGCCAGTAGCGCAGGATTGGAGCCCACACAGCGCCTTGACGATGTTAGGCGCCTGGGCCTATTCTACCAAGGCCCATGATTTATTTGGATGAATGGCAGGGTGATGATGTTGCTGCTGTTCCGACTTCGAATAGCCCTTAGTCGGCAGAACCATGTTTGCACCATTTTTTCAACCGGTGATGATAGTCACCCAGCTAGTCGCGCAGCCCGCGCCGATACCCGCAATTTTAGAACCAGGAGGAATAAATCTTGACGACGCAATGACATTCCACCGTCCCTTAACATCGTTGTTCTCAACTTGCGGGCCGCAGTTGCCGTGCTCTCCCCATCCCCAAGCGAGCACATCGCCCGTCTCTGTGAAAGCAATGACATGTTCGCTCCCAATGGCAATCTTTGATAACTTGGGTAAGCTCGGCGGTGGGAGCTGTCCGTGATCGTCCCTTCCCCACGCCATAAGCTCACCGTCCTTCTTCAGGACATAAACGTTACCCCAGCTTGCACCGACATCTGCCCACTCTGGTACGGAACTGGGCGCAGAGGACTTGATGTTCCATTTATCAGACCCCAGAATGAGCAACTTTCCTGAACCTGGGGCTCCAAACAAACAAGTAAAGTCCTTTCCGCAGACGGCTCTTTCAACCTTGAAGTCGACGCCCTCGATCTTCCTCGGCGAGTAGATGACGGCCTCTGGGCTCCCACCTTGACCCTTGCGCACATTGCCCCAGGCGTACGCGTCGCCGGTGCTCAGGACCGCCACAGCATGGCCCATACACGCCGCCAGGTCCACGATCTCAGTTCCGGCCGGCGGGAATTCCTTGAAGAGGGTGGCGGACGGGGAGCGGACGAGGAGCTCTCCGAGACCTAGCTCGCCCTTTTGTCCGGCGCCGAAGCTGTAGAGCTTGGTCTTCTTTCCTTCGGCGTCTTGCTGGACGACGAAGGAGGCTTCCCAGGTTGCAGCGATCAGGACTGGTGTCGATGCTGTTGTTGCTGCTGCTGCGGTGGCCGGGGCGGCGTTTGCTTCATCCTTGCTCAGCTGGACTTGTTGGAACACGGGCTCGTCGGTCTCTGCTCCTGAGGTGAGGCCGCATGCGCCGCTGGTCGCGTCTCCGCTCCAACAAAGTTTTCCTGATCTTGTGAGGAGAATGGTGTGGTTTCCGCCTGCTGCGATTTTGACTACTGGCGATTCGGTGTCCTCTGGGAAGAAGATTGCTTGCTTGGGGACGGATACGTCTTCCTTGTGGCCGATGCCGAGTTGGCCTGATCCGTTGGAGCCAACGGCGAAGAGGACAGACATCTTGAAGAATGTTTCGCCTTGCTTTGCCGATTTCGATATTTTTCGATTTGATATGCAGCGGGACGGGTGAGCTCCCTGCTGTCTCGACGAGGTAAGGTACCTGAGCTCCGGACAGAGCTTCAGTGGACCCCGCGAAATATCTCAGTAAGCAAATTCGTCCCCCACCAGTTTCTCGTATGCATTTATGCAGTTCCATGGAGGGGATCTTTCGGCCAATCTTTCCCGCGCCTCCGCCAATGGATCCGCGCGCCGCAAGATCAAAAAGCGGAACTTGAGCCGCCAACTTTTTTTTCTTCTCACCATTCGCATCACAACACTCTTGCAGAACAGTGCTTGCAGACAGCGTCGCGACCCGATTCTCTTGACATTGCGCCAGAGTTTTTCGTCGCTTGTGAGGATGTGAGAGGTTTTACTGCGAGTAGACCTTTTGCAACTCTCCAACAAGAAGCTCAGACTCGCCTGGAAGAACTTTTTCTAACCTGACAGGAAAAGCGCACTCTGCACACGGCACGATGGCATCTTCTTCGGCTCTCCCTTCACCTCAGGCCGCCGGCGGCATCCCCGCTGGAATGGAAAATTTCGTGGTCGGCCTGATTGGTATGGGAGACATGGGGAAGATGTATGCGCAGAGGCTATCTGCTGCTGGATGGAAGTGAGTAATTGTTCATTCCCCAGCCGGGCCTCTGCGCTATTCGGTTCTTATGGTAAGCTTCTTCTCTCTGCTCTCATCCTCCTTCAACATTATCACATCCGCCATTGGTTATGATGACAAGAGCGCATTTGGCTAGAGTATCGCCCAAGGCATTCTCGGGTAACCATTCTGGCCCCGGGTACCGCTGAGGGCCTTCCATGATGATACACCTAGCTACCTTAAACTTTACCTGTCTGAACCTTCACAATCACTCTGTTCTTTTCTACGACTCGCATCTTGGAGAACAGCAAAGCTAACAAAGCTTTTCAGGAATCTGTAATAGCTTCATGCCTTATCATTGCTATACAATCCGCACAGCCTATGGTTGTCTAGGAAAGAAAAGAGGAGGAACAGCAGATAGGGGAAACAGAAGGCTGACGTCTGGGAATCGGCAGGATCATGGCTTGTGACCAGGAAGAAAAGTACGAGAGCCTGAAAGAAGAGTTCTCTGGAAATGTATGGGAATGCCACCAGACTTGCCCTGCCGCACGCTTCCTAGTGTGGGAACCCCTCGGTGTCCAACCCCGGCTGAGCAGTTTCTTGATAGAACAATGTACAAATTTGCCGAAATGGCCACTACGTCTCCCGCGCCAGCGACTACATCATCTACAGCGTTGAAGCTGCCGCCATTGACCGCGTGATCGCCCAGTATGGACCATGTATGACTTTTGCCCTGTTCCCTCATTCACCTCTGGCCACGATCCCCAG